TGGGTCCACAGCCTGACGCCCCAACCGCTGAGCCACACTGGCCGGGGCTGTGAACGTTTGTCGTGCTGGGCCCTCCGTGCAGGTTCTCGTGCCCATGAGACAGCAGAACAGCTCACAGATCGGAACCCTCCTCCGTTGCATAGAAAATGTCTTTTGCAGGCATATTTAAAATCCTGGCTCAGCCCTGGCCCGTTTGGCTCAGTGGTTAGAGCATTGGTTTGTGGATCGAAGAGTCGTGGGTTCGATTCCAGTCAAGGGCATGTTGCGATTCATCCCCGGCTCCGGTCGGGTCGTGCAGGAGGCAACCAAGCGATGTGGCTCTATCACATGGATGTTTCTCTCTGTCTCTCTCTCTCCCTCCCTCCCACTCTATCTGATGATAAATAGAGAAGTATCCTCAGGTGAAGAATAAGAGATAAAAATTAAAAAAATAAAAATAAAAAACTCCCAGCTCATAATTTCGAAGTCAAACAACCTGGCTCAGTGGCTGCATGTTCGGCAGGTGACCCTGTGAGCATTCCACGCCCCCAAATAACAAACCTGACCAGCTGTCGCTCAGCCTAGGTCGGTGTCGGCCTGTGGTTCTATGGGAATGTGTCTAACGTCTGGTCACGCGCCTGCAGTTCTAATTTTCTGAAGCATATGTGTTGGAAGGAGCCAGTCAATGCAAACACAGACGGTTGGTTTTCTGCATTTGATTTGGGGGAAAGTTACTCTAAACTGATGGAAGGTCTGAGTCATAGCTCTTGAGAAACCCGACAGGAGACAGAGGGGCAGCCAGGCCTGGGACTGGATTTTAAGGTCCTCCCTGAATGAACAGACACGAATGTTTGTGATTTGATCTTAGAAATGCCGGTATTTTTAAAGTGCTTCAGAAGTTCTCAGAAATGCCTCCAGCGCCCTCGCCGCCTGCAGGCTTCTGGAGAAGGGTTCGCACCGAGGAAGTCACGCTGGGGTGAACACCTGTCACAAAGCCGGTGGAAAGGTTTTGTGTGTTTTTACTTCTTATCCTATTGGGTTACATTAACTGCATTGTCAGTTGAATTCGGGGTGCTCCTCACACTGAAATCTAGAATGTAGCTCTGTTAAAAATGTATGTGCCCTGGCTGGTTTGGCTCAGAGTTACAGCGTCGGCCGCGGACCAACGAGTCGCAGGTTCAGTTCCGGTCAAGGGCATGCGCCTTGGGGTCATGCAAGAGGCAACCAGTCAAGGAGTCTCTTTCTCCCTCCCACGCTCCCTCCCTCCCACGCTCCCTCCCTCCCACGCTCCCTCCCTCCCACGCTCCCTCCCTCCCACGCTCCCTCCCTCCCACGCTCCCTCCCTCCCACTCTCTCTAATGCTAAATGGAAAAATATCCTCAGGTGAGGATTTAGTAAATAAGTAAGTAAGTAAAGTGTATGTTGCTGAATCCATCCTTTTTTTCCAGTCTACCATCTGTAGTGTAGATGAATCTGCCCTTAAAAGCCTGCTGGGGCTGCACTGGCCGGTTTGGCTCAGAGGTTAGAGCGTCGGCCTGTGGTCCGGAGAGACCCGGGTTCGGTTCCCGCTAAGGGCACGTACCTCGGTTGCGGTTTGTCCCCGGCCCTGGTTGGTCGTGCTGGTGGCAGCCACTTGATGTGTCCCTTTCATGTTGATGTTTCTCTCTCTCTTCCTCTCTCTCCCTCCCACTCTGTTTGAACAAAAAATGGAAAAATGTCCTCTAGTGAGGGTTAAAAAAAAAAGCCTTCTGGGGCTTCTCATCCGTGTGTGAGGCCCAGTGTCCTCAGGAGCAGCCGGAGCCCGTCACGGCCTGGCCCCTCCGGCGGCCTCTGGCCACGCCGCACAGCTTACGTCCCCCTGACAGATGAGCACTGGGCGCCCGGTCACAGTCAGACTTCCCTGTGCTGGGACCCAGAGGTCCTGAAAGGGACCGGGTGGGGGTGGCGAGTTGTGGGGGCCCAGACTCAGTGCAGCTCCTTAGGTGTTCGGGCCTGTGGCTGAGGAAGGGCAGTGAGCCCCACGGTTCTCGTCCTTGGGCTCGGGAGGAAGGGGACCAGGCGGCAGCTCCCCCTCTGGGGGCACAGACAGGGCTGCCCGCTCGGGATCGGAGGCTCGTTTCTGGCAGCCATTGTGTCTCCCTGTTCCTTAGTCACGAATGAACTTGACCTCGTTCAACATTAAAGCTTACATGCTGCACACGGCCCCGAGGGTGGCAGGGACTCACCTGTGTGGCGTCAGACGGCCCGTTTTCTCTGGAAAAATCCTCTTGGAATCTGTGCCAAGACCTGGCGAGTGCGTAGTTCCACGCTGGGTCAAAAATGCATTTCCCAAGAAACCGTCTTTATCACTGGCATCAGAGGGAAAAGAAATAAGAGAGAGAGAAACCCTTTCAGATCAAAAGCACTACCTCCGGATGTGCTGTCAGGACCAAGGGGACCAGCGACAGGCCGGTGACACCTGGTTCCAACTGCTGTCCTGTGTTCGCGTGCGTGCTCACATGGGCACAGGCACACACGCCCCCCTGTGCAGACTTCTCGGGGCCTGGAATTCTTCCGTGGGACTTGACTTTCTCCAGCTCGGAGTCCACGGACGAGCTGCCTGTCTCTGTGTCACCACAGAGCGGGGGTGAGGGGCACTGCCCCCGGAGAGGATCCCAATGTGATCATGGTCTTTCTAGAACCTTGGGCATTGTGACGTCTGCTTCGGGGATGCTGCTGGCCTTCCACCCCTCCCGCTGCTGACTCCTGGGGACCCCCAGGGCTTCTGACGGCAGGGGTGCCACCTTCCTTCCCTGGCAGAACAGCCATGTGGCCCCCGTGGCTCGCGTGCACTGGTCATGGCACTGTACACCCCTCTTCCAGGCCGAGCCCTATGGTGGGGGTGGTTTCCGTGCCGCAAAGGCCCTCCGGGGGCCACTCCAGGCAGGTGCGTCATCCCTGCCACTCTCCTGGCAAAGGTCCCCGAGGTTCCCAACAATGTGCCCAAAGTCACAGGATTAAGGCCAAGAAATGAGGTTTTGAATCCAAGCCCATCAGATGAGTGGCCCCCGCCTGCCCCACGCTGCCCCAACTGGAGGGAGGAAGGGCATTTCAGGGGAAGGGAAGGGCGCGGACAAAGGCGGAGACCAAACAGGATATCTGTTCCAGAAAACGCAAGGTGTTCAGCGCCAGTGGCGCAGTGCGTGGGGCGAGAGGACGGGCAGGCGGCGGGTGAGGGGCTCCGCGGGCCCCTCAGGGACCGACTCTCTCACGGGGAGGAGCTCGGAGAGCCACCCCGCAAACGGGAAGCTGTGGGCACATTTTGTTTTTAAGCAGCTTGCTCTCTGCAGTCTGGCTCTGGGGCGGGCGGTGGAGGATGAGGACATCAGGCGGAGCCCGTTGGGAAGGTGTCCCGGTTCCATCACTTCAGTGTGTGATGCTGGGGAAGTCGGCATCCTTTCTGTTGTTTTCCCGCCTGTACGAGCCCTGGACAGAAAAACTGAGTTACCAATGTGTTCCCCATCCCGTCCCCTCTCCGCTTATTCCATCTGTCTGCTGGACTGCGGGGGGAGTTATTTTATTTACTGATCGACTTTGCTAGTTATTCCCCTCCCCCACCCCACCCCCTTTTTGAGTGATCACAACCAGCCCACACTCAGGCACCCTAATCAACAGAGGTGTTATATCCCTTCCCCAGTATCCAGGGCTGCGTGACTTCCCGGTCAAGGGACCCCTTCTCGCCAAGGTGAGGTCTGGCTTTAGGAAATATTGCCCTGAGGGCTGGGGACCCCAACATCTTATGCCCCGGGGTGGCTGGACCTCCAGCCTTCCTGCTCGTGGTCCCAGGGAGCCTGGACGCTAACATGGATCACACTGGGGAGGGGTATCGAGGGCAGTTACGAATATTTGAATTTTACATGTGAACTGCTGTATCTGCTGGGGAAGGGTGTGTGCCCAAGGGAAGGACGGACGCTGCACAGCCCCTAGGCCTCCCTCGCCCCTCCCGTGTCTAGGCCACCCCAAGGTCAGACTCAGACTCCCTGCCCGGCTGCCCTGGGGCACCAATGCGTGTGTGGCGGGGGTCAGGACACGTGTGAGCTGCCTCCTCCTCGTTCTTGGGCTCAAGCTTAGCCCATCTGCTCCATGTGGCCTGGAGGCCACCGCCTGACGACCTGGGGCAGTATGGGGACCCCCTTCAGGGACACCTCTGCCCCTCGAAGTGACTCCTGTCTGTCCCAAAAGACGCACCAAATACTGAAGCGGGAGAGCGGAGGCGAGTCTTTTATTGAAAAGCAACAAAGTTCGGAAATACTCGTGCACCTGGTGAAAACCCACACAGCCCCAGCCCCTCTGCCACCCAGGACTCCGGTGGCCCCGGCGGCCGTCACCAGCTGCTCCCGGCCCCTTCCGGGCGATTCTTGCTGGGACAAGCACCATCCCTCCCGTCCCTCGGAAAGGGAGTCCCACGCAGTCACTATATTCTAATCCTCTGTATGCTTTTCTGCACCTCACTGTGGGTCTGAACGGAAGTCTGCCGGCCCGTGGGCGTCGCCCCTGTTCGGCTGCACAGGGCCCACGGCCACGGGCGCGTGTGCGGGGCGCGCCGGTCAATTCCAGAGAAGCGCTCGCCCTCCTCGGAGCGCAGGACCCGGCCCGTGGGGCCCAGGCCGCCCCTCCCCCGCCCCGCAGCCGGGGACTCGCGGGGACTCGGGGGCTCGCGCGGGGCCACCGCAGGTGGCTCTTTGCAGAGTCGTCTTTCCGTTTTAAGGCGGCGAGTCGCGATGAGCGACCCCGCAAAAGGAGAGTAAGTGGGACCCGTAGACCGGAAAGGGGAGCCCCGCGGGAGAGGGCCGCGCCCCGCCCCGGCCGCGCCCACGAGCCCCGCCGTGCCCGGGCGCGCCTGCCTGGCCCCCGCCGCGGGCGGTCCGCGTCCAGCCGCCCGCCCTCCAGCCGGCCCCCTTCCCGGGCGCCGTGCCCGTCCCGGGCTCGTCACCGCCGCGAGGCCAATGGGCTGGGCCGCGGCCGCGCGCTCGCTCCTCTCCCCGTCCCCGCGCGCTCGCCCCGCCGCTCAGCCTGCGCCCAGCCGCCGTCGAGCCGCCATGCAGCTCCCGCCCGGCGCGTCCCTCCCGCTGCTGCTGCTGCTGCTGGGCCCGGCCCTCGGGGCGCTCGCGGCGGCGCCGCTGGCCGCCGGGTGCCCGGAGCGCTGTGAGCCGGCGCGCTGCGCCCCGCCGCCCGGACACTGCGAGGGCGGCCGCGTCCGCGACGCGTGCGGCTGCTGCGAGGTGTGCGGCGCGCCCGAGGGTGCTGAGTGCGGCCTGCAGGAGGGCCCGTGCGGCGAGGGGCTGCAGTGCGTGGTGCCCTTCGGGGTGCCCGCCTCGGCCACCGTGCGGCGGCGCGCGCAGGCCGGCCTCTGCGTGTGTGCCAGCAGCGAGCCGGTGTGCGGCAGCGATGCCAACACTTACGCCAACCTGTGCCAGCTGCGCGCCGCCAGCCGCCGCTCCGAGAGGCTGCACAAGCCGCCGGTCATCGTCCTGCAGCGCGGCGCCTGCGGCCAAGGTACCTGCGGGCGGTGCCCTCCCCTCGCCCCGCCGCGGGGCGCCCCGGGGATCCCGGGTCTTCCCATCCGGCCCCAAACTGCCTCCGCGGGACAGACAAGCAAACCCGGGGGCAGGGAGGCGTTGCGGGCGTTCAGGGCACCCACTCGCTGGCAGAGACGGGCACTGGCCTCTAGGGGGGCAGCGTTCCGAGCTCCCTTGTGCCCAGCCCCAGGTAGGCTCCGCACCCAGTGGGTGCCCCAGCGCGCTCTGTCCTGCAGTCGGGGTAACAGGCCTCCGCCTGGTGGCCGGTTGCTGGGTGCCCCGCGGAGAACCACACAACACCAGGGCCCCGGGGGCAAACAAGACAGGAATGTGGGCATACGGGAGGGGGAGTTTGGGACTTGGGACGGGAAAGGTAGGTGCTTTTCCTCCAGCAAGCCGGAGCCGGGACCACAAGGGCTCATTTCTGCTGCTTTCCATTCCACTTCTCAGCCTTGGAGCCTCCCCCCGCCTTTAAAATTAACCACAGTCACTTAATTACCGATCCTGCTGGTGACACCTCTATTTAAATTTTTACTTGGAAGGAACCATGGCCCATCCCTCACCCAGATTCCCCCAGATGATCTCCCTGGCGGCACCGCAGCCGCTGTCCGCGTCCCTGCCTGCTTGGCTTCCCCTGTTCTGAGCCAACCCGACGAAAATGAAAGTGGCTCTTTCTGAATTTGGATCGCCAAGTCCGAAGAGGTGGAGATGTGTGGGGGGCGGGTGAGAGACGGGGGGGCCCCTGTTTTACACATCTTTTCTGAATCCACAAGCCGGGCCCTAGTGGTGGTGATGGGCCAAGGGTGGAGAACCCTCTCTCGCGGGACCTTGCGAGGGAGCTGCAGGCAGGGAGCCCACGTGGAAAGATAATGCAGGTTCAGCTGGGGCCGGTCCAGTCTGCGGGGAGGGGACAGCGGGGCCTGACAGTGTCCTGCTGCAGCTCCACTGCCTCCTCACTGGGCCTGGAGAGGGCTGAGGGGAGCCCAGCGGGGGCTGGTCTCGATGTTCTCTGTGGGAATATGATAACGTGGACCTGGCACCCTCTGGCTCACACGGAGGGAAGTGCCTGAGTGTGCAGGGGAACTCGGAGAGTGTGTTCCACCAGCAGGGAGCAGGGAGCCTGGTACCCGCCCTCAGAAACAGCCCAGTTAGGGGCCGAGGAGCGCTTTCCCGGGAGGAGTGACCAGCAGAGACGGGATGGGCATGAAAACGCACATATGGGTACCCGCCCTGTGCCCTAGTCCTGTGCCAGGGGCATCACACTGGGACCTCCTTGGTCTTAACAGCCTCATGAGGAGGAAGTCCGTGCGCTCATCCCCATTTTGCAGACAGAAGAACTGAGGATGAGTCACTTGCCTAAGGCCGCGTGCCAGGATTTGAACGCAGACAGCTGTGTTCAGAGCCAGGCCGGTGCTCCGCCCCAGCGCTGAGGAGGAGAGGTGGCAGCATGGAGGAAGTGTCCAGAAGGCTGGGAAGTGCATCCCAGCCGGAGGGGGAGCAGCCTGAGCAAGGCCTTGTTTGGGAGGCGGTGGAGCCACTCTGGACACTGCGGAGGCCGCGGGAGGACCCGGGCTGTGGCGCAGAGTCCCAGGGCCCCAGGCGGGGGGCCGGGCGGCTGTGTGCTCAGAGGCTCTGGAACCGGAGCCTCACAGAAAAGCCTGGCATGGGACTCGCCAGGCAGTAGGGTGCAGAACACACCAGGGTGCGGAGCTGAGGCTACTGCAGGAGTCTGGGTGTGAGCTGATGACTTAAAACAGCATATTGCATGTTTTCGTCAACAATAAGCCAGCTGTTACTGCCTGCCGGCTCGCTGCACGGGGTCCTGAGTAACTGGCACCCTTCAAGCGCCTCGCTTATTGCCAGAGAGGTGGAGTCCCTTAGCAGCTTTGGAGTTGGCAGCCATAACGGTCGCCTGGGGAGGAAAACAGGTCCTCTCCATTGGCCGTCAGGCCCGCGGCTGGCATCCGGGACAGCAGGCACGTGGCCAGCCACAGAAGGTGCCTGCGGCATTGGAAAGAGGGACAGACAGAGGGCGCAGGGCTGTTCTCATCGCCTCCTCTCTTTCCGCGGATATTTGTCACGCTCTGCAGTGTGTGTTTGCGGCCTGGCCCAGAGGGGGCGCCTGGTGGCTCTGTGGGTAGATGGTAAATGAATGGACGACTGACTGAATGAGTGAATGAATGAAAGAATGAATGGAGCAACGAGGTGCTTGAGAGACACAGCCAACCAGTCTTTCCTTAATGGAAGGCTTTGCTTTCTCCACCCCCTCGCCCCCTCTAACTCTCTGCCCTTCACCTTCCGGAGGTGAAGGAGCCTGGGAGCCAAGACTTCATTCATCTGTGTGTGGCCCTGCCCACGAGCAGGTCACTTGGTGTCATTGTTAAACGAGGTGAATTGCTGAGAGGGTTGGCTGGAGTGCTGTTTTAGTTGGGGGGGGGGTGCGTGGGAGGCCTCTGGGAGGAGGTGCCCTTGGACTAGAGGCCTGGAGCAGCCCGATGGAGCGGAGAGTAAGGCCAGGGACACAGGACCTGCCAGCGGACAGAGGTCCCTGGGCAGGCGCGGCATCAGGGAGGCCCGTGCGTCTCCGGGTGGTGGAATGTGTCACCTTTCAAAAGAGAGCACATTTATCTGTGAGCTGCTGGACAACGGCTTCAGGGAACATCTCTTATCGCGGCTCTGGACTGAAGGCCAGCGTGTGTTCCAGAAGCCATGTGGCCGGGGGATTCGGGTGGGGAGGTGTCCGACTCCACAGAGAGCGAAGGCCAGTCCTTTTCCACCGTTAGCTGTTCGATTAGTTCAATGCAAAAGCTCCCTGCTGGTCAGGAGACGGCGGAAACGCAAGGAATTGCAGTAACAATGGTCCACTAATGAGGGCTGACACAGGCATGGTGCCCCTGCGTGCCAGGCGCCATGACCCCGTGTGACCCTCCTCGCCTGCTGTCCTGCGGGGGTGGGGTACGGGAGCCCTCCCGAGCCACAGCTGGGGGGCAGAGGCCGGGGCAGCACCTTACGCAGGACTTGAACCTATGCATCTGGTGCAGAGCCCAGCCCCCATCACCGTGCTGTGCGGAGGTTCTGAGCCAAGCACAGCTAAGCCGCCAACAGCTGGAGCGAACAGTGGGCCAGATGGCTTTGAGATGACGCTGGGGACACGGCCCGGCTCACACAGGCACGAGGGGCGGAGGCGGGTGCCTGAGCCACCATCACGGTCCCTGCTGGAGAAGAGCAAGAGGACACGGGGCCGTAACCCAGATGGTCCCCCAACGGGAGCCCCAGGCCCCAACTGCTCGAGGCGAGAGAGTTCCCAGACTTTGCAACGGACCCGCCCGGGTGTGCGGCGTTGCAGAACTTCACCGAGAAAGGGACACGGAGCCAGGAAAGAGGCCTGAGAAAGAGTCCCAGACGTCAGAAGCCAAACCCATCTGCCCTCCCATTGCACACTCTGGGGAGCCCACCTGGTCCCAAGTGGCAGCCCGGATGAGCCCGGGGGTGTGGGGGCCCAGGGACTCCTCGCTCTGCCTCCTGGTCCTGATGGGGGGAGGCCCCACAGGGGGAGGTGGCCATGCGTTCAGGGGAACAGGCTCCCGTGTCCTGTGAAGTTTATGGGGCATCACTCACTTCAGTCAGTTCCCTTCTTTTATTCTGTGTTGCTTTTGTTAAAAGGTTCAGGTTTGGTGGCATTAGGAAGGTAGCCAAGTGTTGGAGTAGCTTCATTCTCGCCAGAGAGCTGTCAATAGGACGCATCAGACGGAACACAACTGCCTTCAGAGAGAGCACGGTGGGACCGTGAGCTGACGGTGGTCAGATGCCCGACGGCCTCAGGACTGCGGGACAGGGTTCTGGAGCCATTTGGAGCCGTGTGATCCTGCAGGCAGCTTCGTGCCTTGGATTGGGAAATCAGACTTTCCATGAGCTTATATTTTCAGTGAATAAATAGCTCTGGTCAGGCTTAATTTGAAGAAGAAATCACACTTGGCAGGAGTTGAGGGTTCCTTGGAAGACCGGCTGGGGTGGAGGGGCCAGCCGGCTGGCCACGGGCTCTGGCCCTTCCCAGGCTGTTACCTGACCAGGTGACCTGCCCCCGACCTCTCGGCCTCAGCAGGGAGGGTTGGACCCGATGGTCGCTGCGTCCCTTCCAGCTGGCCTGGTCGGTGGCGCTTGTAAGAAAACCATCTCTGAAGAATTGCGGTCACTTCGTCTCTGCTCTGAGGCTGCGCTGGCGTCTTTAAAAGTTAATTTCTCTTTTAGAAATGACTGTGGTTAGAGCCAAGGTTGTCATTGAAAGCATGTGGCCCATCTGGGGCCTGGTTGACGTGTGTGTGTCGCTCAGCTTCGTGCTGGCTGCTGGTCCGTGAGGCGATGTCTCCACCGTCGCATGCTCCTTCCCTCCTTCCCTGCTGGAAGGAAGGAAAGAGAGAAGGAAGGAGGGAGGGAGGGAGGGAAAATTAATGTCAAAGAGAAACAGAGGTGTAGCCATTTCAATTGCTTTTCCAAAAGGCTCCCCAAAGTGTCGGGGAAGTCGGTGTGGCTGGGTGACGTGCGTCCATCTAGAGCATTAACTGAGCACCTGCTGTGCACTTGGAAGTGTCCAGAGATGGGGAGCCAGGTGAGTGGGGCTCGGTGGCCCATCACCTGGAGTTCGGAGCAGGGTGCGGAGCCTGCGGACTGGGCGTCTGGAGTCAGAGTGGCGCTGTCTGACTGTGACTCCCTCTCTGCACCCCTGTTTCCTCACGGCCCAGCAGTGATGATGATAATAGCACCCCCATACCCACCTGGTGGATTTGCTGGGGGAAGACGCCTCTAATTACATGAGCCGGGAACATGCCGGCTGCGTTACCGGAGCGCACCTGTCAGAATAATAACTGTCATTGTCGTCACTGAGACCTCTAACGAGGAGCCAGCCCAGGGGAGCCGGTGTGTGCTGGCCTTGTCCCCCGGGACAGGGTGAGGGTGCGCCACAGAGGGAGAGGGTGCGGC